GAAGTGTCTCCTTCCCATCTTTCTCAGGTTTTCTGGCACTTGGGCCATTATTGCAGCTATATTCTAGTAACTAGAGGATATATTCTAGTAACATGCTGTCACCACAAAGAGCAGCAACTGATATGTAAGGGTGCTTGAGAGCTCATGAAGGTTGGAAATTCACAGGGAGCTGCAGGTACAAGGTCACATCTCCATTGTGAAGGAGTGATATGCTTCAAAACATCAACTTCAGACAGCAGAAACAAAGAAATATCTGAAATTAATAAATATTTTGTAACATTAATTGCTGAACACAAAAGGCATCGTAAAAAAAACTAAACACCTTGAAGCCCACAAACTGCAAGCCAGCAAAAAATTCATTTTAACTATATGACATTTGGAATAGAAGAAGGCCAGAACTGAAGAGACCAGCTGCACCTGTTTTGGAAGGGAATTCCATTTAAGGAATTTGATTTTGATCGTAACTGGACTCAGTAATTATCAAGCTGTGTCCTGACTATTTAAGGAAGATACTGGATTTACAGAATCTAGTTCAAATCTCTCCCCCCCTCTCTGACTCATCACTACTTAGTATACCTTATCATACTTGTATGATAATTTGAAATTCATCAATAGAGTTTTGTTCTTGCACAGTTCCTCTGAGATCCTGTTAACTGGGGTCCACTTTGCCCAAAACATACTTGGCTTATTGCTTTGAGAAAATTTGCTTTAAGACATTGCTTCTTTCTGTAGAAATGAAAGTTGAAAATACCATCTGACCATTTGTGTATTTCATTCTAGACACTAATAACTTTTTGACAGAAACAAAACAAAATAAAAAAAATTAAAGAATTCCTTCCAGTAGCACCTTAGAGACCAACTAAGTTAGTTATTGGTATGAACTTTTGTGTACATGCACACTTCTTCAGATACACTGAAACAGAAGTCACCAGACCCTTATATATAGTGAGAGAGGCTGGGGAGGGGTATTACTCAGAAGGGTGGTGGGAATGGGTGATTGGCTGATAGGTGTGGTAAACCTGTTGACGACTGTTAACGACTGCAATTGGTCTTACAGGAAAAAGCAAGGGGTGAGATTGCTAAAAATAGCTTTATCATGTTTATTGAGATAAGAATCCAATGTCTCTATTCAGACCAGGTCTCTCCATGGTTTTAAGTTTGGTAATAAGTTGCAATTCAGCAACTTCTCTTTCCAGTCTATTTCTGAAGTTCTTTTGTAATAAGACAGCTACTTTGAGATCTTGTATAGAATGTCCTGGGAGACTGAAGTGTTCTCCTACTGGTTTCTCTGTCTTGTGATTCCTGATATCAGATTTATGTCCATGTATCCTTTGGCATAGGGTTTGGCCTGTTTGTCCAATATAGAGAGCTGAAGGGCACTGTTGGCATTTGATGGCATACACAATGTGATACTGCGATGGTATGTTTGATGTTGTTGGGGCCAGTAATGGTGTTGTCTGGGTGTATGTGGCAGCAAAGTTGGCATCTGGGTTTATTGCAGGCTCTGGTACCAGTGTCCATGTTAAGTCTGCTTGTTGTTTTATTGTGGGTGAGGAGTTGTTTAAGATTGGGTGGCTGTCTGTAGGCAATGAAAGGTCTTCCTCCCAGAGCTTGAGAAAGAGAACTGTCATTGTCTAGGAGAGGTTGTAGATCTCTGATGATGTGTTGAACTGTTTTAACTTGGGAACTGTATGTGATTACTAGTGGTGTTCTGTTACTTTCTTTTTTGGGTGTGTCTTGCAGCAATTTTTTTGACAGAAGTTGAAGAGACAATGTGTGTGGAATCCTTATGGAATAACTCATTATCTGAAGTTCTAAAGATAGCTGTGGCAAGTCCGACTTGTCAAGACTGGCATATTCAGACACTAACGGAGGCATTCCTAAAGGCTTGTGAAGAACCAGTTCACTTAAGCCTGCTGCCTGCCTGTGAGAGTAACAACAGCTACCTTCATGTTGGACAGCTGCATATTCCTGCATTGTAGGGGGTTGGACCAGACGATCCTCAGGGTCCCTTCTATAGGACCAGTGGTGGACTTTGAGCTCTCAAATTTCAGCGGTGCTAAAATTTGGCACCCTCCCACATCTCTCTCATTACATTGTCCACAGCATTTTCATGGTGCAGCTGCACCAGTCAGCAACCTTAAAACCTTCTATGACAGGACATCCATTTATACTTTATATATAGGGAGCACTACATCTGCATGGGACGCGGGTGGCGCTGTGGGTTAAACCACAGGGCCTGGGACTTGCCGATCAGAAGGTCGACGGTTCGAATCCCCGTGAGGGGGTGAGCTCCCATTGCTCGGTCCCTGCTCCTGCCAACCTAGCAGTTCGAAAGCACATCAAAGTGCAAGTAGATAAATAGGTACCGCTCCAGCGGGAAGATAAACGGCGTTTCTGTGCGCTGCTCTGGTTCGCCAGAAGCGGCTTATTCATGCTGGCCACATGACCTGGAAGCTGTATGCCGGCTCCCTCGGCCAATAAAGCGAGATGAGCGCCGCAACCCCAGAGTCGGCCACGACTGGACCTAATGGTCAGGGGTCCCTTTACCTTTACCTTTACATCTGCATAGGCATTTCAAAATAAAGTTTGTAGCACCTACTTTTGTTTCATGGTGCAGCTGCACCAGTCAGCAACCTTAAAACCTTCTATGACAGGACATCCATTTATACTTTATATACAGGGAGCACTACATCTGAATAGGTATTTCAAAATAAAGTTTGTAGCACCTACTTTTGTTCTTGCAAATTATAACCACAGGGTATTATGCTTTAAATGGATAAGTTATCTCCTAATTACACATTATTACCAACATCTTATCCTAAATCATGATAATCTACATCATTAACATTGTTAAATAATAACCCCATTAATGGTCTTAGGAGACTAATTGCATCCAGTTGTTGGTGATGATGCCTTTATGCTTAAGTATGAATACTTTTAGATATAAGATACTCATTAGCATTGATTAAACAATGCTGATGTGAATAACTGCCAGAACTATATAAGCCCCAAAGCAGCATTTGTTGTTTTCAAACAGTGTTCAGCAAGACCTAACTAAAATGTTAATGAAAGCAGATTACATCTTAAGGGGAAGGGGGGAAACTTGTATGAATGAGTTGTTTTTTTCCTTATCTTTTCCCAGCATATGGTTTACCTTCTGTACTGGAGAGGCGGCTAATTTATAAATGGGAGTCAAATGGGTCTGGTGGGCTACCATTGTACTTGGAAGGTAGTAGTTCTGGGACCCAAATTAATAGGAATGATACAGGAGTTGTACTGGACCATAAATACATTAATAAATACGGTATACATTTTAATTGTCACATCAATTAACATTGTAATTACAAGCTAAATGTCCATATAATTTAGTTTCCCAGCTGGGCATCACACCCTTTTGGTGACATGCTAGCACTGCAAGAGGAACCATTATATTTAGCTGTGATCGTCAACATCTTTGCACATTTCCTGTATGTTGAGAATGCCATATAATTTTGTAAAGATTTGGAGTGGGGACATTTCTCTATAAAATGTGAGGGAAAGTTTCTAAAAGAGACCTTTCCAAATGTTAGTAGAGGAGAAAAGTGTCTTTTGTTTAGTCTCCAAAAGGCAACCATCTGACTCAGCCTGGGACTCGAGAGCCAGAAAAATATAGAAAAACAGATGATAGTGTAGGACTGGTTTGTGACTGCATTCCTGCCTTTGGAGTGATGGCCAGCAAACTCAGGTTGATGAGCTGCTTGTGTGAAGAGGCCAAAGAAAACTACACCAGGAACACTCATTCTGCATTTTCTGATGGCAGATATGAGTCATCATTTGATGCCGTAGTCACTGAATGAGCATACATGTGAAAACCCTTAGTGTGGAATAGTCTAGTATTAAAAGAGTGCAGTTTTTAACTTCAATGAAATGTTTCAGTGAAAGACGCTCTGAAATGCTGTTTGTATGAGAGAGGGAGAAGGAAGGAAGGAAGGAATCATTGCTAGTATAAATACAGTTTTCCCCACCTTTCCTCAAAACAGTATTTTTCTTTAATCCAAACATAGCTATTCTCTGCCTCCACAGTCCGAGGCAGTAATGCTTCTGAATACCAGTAGCTAATAACCACAGGTTCTCCTTATGGATTTCCCACAAAAATATGATTGGCCACAGTGAGAACAGGATGCTGGACCACGTGGGCCATTGGCTTGATCCAGCAGAGTCTTCTTATGTTCTCAGATTTTTTATATCTGCATTTTTCCTATAACTATTTTTTAATAAACCATGTAGCATACTTTTCTTTCAATCCATGTTTTTCGAAAGCAGGGCTTTTTTCAGCCGTAACTTTCCCTAACTCAGTTCTGGCACCTTTCAGTGGGCACCATTACCATTATAAGAGAACAAGGGAGGCATTCATGGTGAGTTCCGGCACCTCTTTTTTTCTATAAAAATAGCACTGTTCATGAGATTTCTGCATTGCAAGAGGCTGAACTATGTAGCCCTCAGGGTCCTTGCAACTCTACAGTTCTATGATTCTGTGATAACATTCTGTTCCTTCGTGTGTCCACATGTGTCAGTGATTGCATGCTTACAGGAGAACCACATGTTTTCTTCTTGAATCAAGAGGACAGCTAGAATGAGAGAGTGGGAAATCCCACTGGACTTTAGATGTGTCTTTCTTTAATTTCCATTTACTGTAGTTCTCTGTCGTGATATTATTTGTCGTTATCTGTATCTGTATCTTCCTCAGTTGTTCCCAGATTCATTTCCCCTTCAATTTGCAGTTGTACCCAAGCCCATGTACTTATCAACTATCTTTTAAAGTCCCTTAAATGATCTTCATGAGATTTTTAGTTTGTATGGCTTGCAATTTGTTGCCCAAAGGTCTTCTGTTGTCGGAATAATGAACTTCATGTAGGGCAAGCTCAGTACTTTTCCAGACAACACTTCGTGTTATTGTTCCATTACTTTATTCCATCAACCAGTTTCTCTACGAATAATACAGTGTTTTATCATTCCAGGAACTGTGCCTTCAGAGGATTAAGCAGCTTTTGGGCCTCTTCAACAGAAATGGACCTAAGGCTTATTCACAACCTCACCAAGTTATCTTCTTATATTGACAACTGCACCAACATTGAAAAATGGGCGTGAACTAAGGGTAATTTTAATTGTCATTTTTAATGCCTTAGCTGTAAGGCTGAATGTTATTTCCAAAGTGAACTAATGCAATGACACATGTCACAAATGCAAAAAACGATAAATATATATGGCCTTGGTGGCTAAGAGTACCTCTTTCCCGCTATGGTTGGTTCAAATCACCAACTGGGATGTCCAAATCACTAAGGTGATTTGGAAACTTCAGCTGGCAATCACCTGATTACTGAGTGGAAATCCATTTAGATTATACACAACTTTTTCATTTCATTTCTCTTTTAATTTGTATACCTACCATCTTTCTATAATACTATACACAAGGCAGTTTACAACGACAAAATATACAACAAAGAACACACACCATATAATAATCTGATCCAATACAAAACATAACTTTAAAATGGAATGACATATCAAATAAAGTAATTTTCAGTAATCTATTAGAATATAAGAGTACAAAACAATTAACGCTCAAATAATAAATAAACAAATTCACTCTTCACAATTACAATAAATAATTACTAAACTATGATCTATAAAGATAACTGCAAGTCACAATGCAAATCACAATGAATAACATACCACAATACATACAAAAACATGTAAAAGGATCCAATTGAGAAACAAAGACACACAATTTATATAATTTTTTAAAAATGAAAATCCCTGAATTCCACTTCTAAATGAACAACAATGACAAAAAGCACTTCCCACCACCTTGGTGAAGTTTATTCTAGTTTCTCATGTCCAGAAATAATTTCATGGAGAATAAGACTATCAGTATCTAGTGTTCAGTCTCCACTGCCGGAAGTACTGTGCCTCTGAAGAGCATTTGCTGGGAATCACAAGTGGGGATTGTACTGTTGCCCTCATGTCCTGGTTGCAGACATAGGGCTGGCTTCTGTGAGAACAGGATGTTGAACTAGATGAGCATATGGTTTGATCCAGCAGAGCCCTTTTTATGATTTTACAATAGTATACAAATATGTTATCTTAAATGTTATTGTTTGTGCAGTAGAGATGCATGATTCTACATATTCTTTCTTAGAAAGATTCTGTTATCTTTCATTCCCCTGTGTGTCCCACCCATTTTTTTCTAGTCTAAACTTTACAAGAACGTTTTCACTTGTCCTCATATATTACTTTAATGATACTTCCCTCTTGATTGCAGGATTTGTCAATGACAAAACATTGACTGACAAATAGTTTTGTATATTTATGCAGACATAGTAAGGCAGTATCTAATAACAGCAAACATCTATACATGTAGTGCTTATCAAAGATGTGATTTAGGATATTGATTGGATGGAAATTTCATTTCCCTCTAATGATTAAGATTTATTAGTTAAATGCATCAGGTTTTTTCCTAGCTCTAAAACATTTGCTATTTAAAGAGAAATTGCTCTTTAAGGTTTTGTAAAGCTCTCAAATGGGTTGTGTCCACTGAGTCCAATGGAACAATGAATTTTTTATAGTTACTACTTACTGCCTTAGTGGCTGGCAGGTAATTACATATCATCAAGGAGGAGGTTGCTCAAGGTTCATGTATCCTATAATTCTTCACTATCTTTCCCATGCAGACATTTGCCCTAGAGGATATCAAAAATTTTATGGTGTTTCCTCTGTAAAGATTCAACCACTGCAAGTGAGTTATGTGCTCATTTCTGCAAAGCAGAATGAACAACACTAATGTGATTTTAGACGGCAGATTCATTTTCAGAATGATGATGATGTGTCCTTATCTTTTAGAAGTTCCTTCTGTGCAAATCTAAGGCAGATGAGAAATCATTCAAATTGCATTTCAGAATTTAACTTTGAAACAAATGTCATCTGTAGTATATCTGCTTTTTAAAGAATACTGCAATGGGCATCTCTTACTACAGCTTAGATGCTCCACAGTTCCATGGCATGTGGTGCTGAGTATAGCTTGGAGTGTAGAAATGGCCTCCTTGTAGACCCCACCTTGCTTCAAGGCATGCAAAACTTTAACTTGACTGAATCAACCTACATCACAGTTGATGTTCAGGTTGTCTTTGCAACATCCCCAGGGGAAGATATAACTGAGGTTAAAAAAGGTAAAGGTACCCCTGACCGTTAGGTCCAGTCGTGAACGAGTCTGGGGTTGCGCACTCATCTCACTCTATAGGCCGAGAGAGCCAGCGTTTGTCCACAGACAGCTTCCGGGTCATGTGGCTAGCATGACTAAGCTGCTTCTGGCGAACCAGAGCAGCACATGGAAACGTCGTTTACCTTCCCGCCGGAGCGGTACCTATTTATCTACTTGCACTTTGACAAGCTTTCGAACTGCTAGGTGGGCAGGAGCAGGGACCGAACAACGGGAGCTCACCCCGTCGCAGGGTATTTGAACCGCCGACCTTCTGATCAGCAAGCCCTAGGCTCTGGTTTAGACCACAATGCCACCTGCATCCCCCTATAACTGAGGTTAGTGGAGCCATATTTATGAAGCAAGGGCAAGGTCTTAGATACAGCAAAACTTTTCATCTAGCAGGTCTGGAAAAGGGTACAAGGACAATAATTGAAAATCTGGGTTTGTTTTTCTCATCTACGGGGTTTCTTCCTTACCCAAATTTTTAGAAAGCTATGAAAATAAGTAACAATAGCATCCAAGAAGGGTTCTTTTTAAGAATGGTAGTCACTGTTGGCTCAGTTTGAGTTGAACTGTCCTCATTTCTGTCACTGAGAAAGCCACAATAACTCTCTTAGATGCAGTGTTGTGCAGTTGGCAGGAGATGACCTGCTCATGAGCTTCCAGTATGCATCTTGTTGGTTCTTCTGTGAGCAGAACACTGGATTAGATTTTCATGTTCTAATCTCCTTGGGGGGGGGCAGGATTTACCTACCGGTAGTTCTAGTAGATGATAGATAGATAGATAGATAGATAGATAGATAGATAGATAGATAGATAGCATCATGTACTTTGCTGGTACCGTATAGTCATTTTAAAAATTATTAATTAATTAAAATTATATCATGCTCTTCCCCCACAGAGAAGTCTAGGGCAGCAAACAATAAGTGATAAAACAAGAAAAACATATTTTCTTTTTTAAAAATTCCAATGCAGATGCAGATTTGGAAACATCTCAGATTAAAAAGCTTGTTGAGAGAGGAAGATCTTCAGTAGGTGCTGAAGTGACAACAGGGACAGTCTTAGTGTGTTCAAACAATTAGGAATACTGTTTGGGTAAGCACAACTGAGACAGTGATTGTCCTACTGTGTGAGAGAGTATTCATATCATTATTTTATGATGATATTTTATTATCATTGTGTGAGTAAAGTTTGGCCAATTTAGGCATTCTGAAATATGAAATGCTTTGAAGATTCCATTACATATAAATTCATTATATGAATAGTTTTAAAAACTGACCTACTTTTCTCTTTGTTTTCAATCTGAATGAAGGGAAATGCAATTGAAGTGAAAGCTTACTGGAGATTGCTGGTTTTGATTTTATATCTGGTGATATAATTTTGATAAATTATGTATCCTCTCTTCTGCAGTAATCTAGGACAGGAAGTGGCAAACTATGCCAGGTATTAAAGCCCATGAGGAGTGTGCACAAGCTGGGTACAAAGCTTTCTGTAGCATGAACCATTAAAAATAATCAAGTGAGGCATTTTGGGACTATAAACAAGCTCACATAGGATTTCAAAGGTCATTCAGAGGGTCATCTGATTTGGCTGAACAAGACTCCCCCAAACATACAAAGGAAGTATTGATAACAGTATCTAGGCTTCTCCACCCTCATCTCTGATATCCACATGTTGTTCTTTGACAGAATTGTTGATTAGGAAATGCATACAATACATTTGAATTGAATTACCCATAACTTGATTGACTGGTCTTATGGAAAGTAATGGGCACATTGATTGGAGAAGTGTGACCTCCCTGCTTGCTCCTTCCTTTTGCTTTGGTTAGAAGGTGTGGAACTGGGCTTCTCCTGCTGTGCCTCTGACCCTTTCAAACTCCATCTTGGGCAAATCAGATTGTTCCAATCCTTATACTTCTTTCAATATAACATAACAATTTCATCTGCTGAGGCATTTTATCAACATGTGATGACTGTGCTAGTCTTTGTGTATATACAGTGGTGCCTCGCAAGATGAAAATTATCCGTTCCGTGAGTCTCTTTGTCTAGCGGTTTTTTCGTCTTGCGAAGCAACCCTATTAGCGGCTTAGCGGATTAGCGCTATTAGCAGCTTAGCGGCTATTAAAGGCTTAGCGGCTTAGCGGCTAAAAGGCTATTAGCGGCTTAGTGGCTACTGATGCATTAAAAAATAAATTGTGAAGACTTTTGAAAAGCTTTATTTCGTTTCATTTTAGGGGCCATCTCAAGGTACCATTTCAAACACTTTGTTGATTAGAAGAGTGACAAAAACAGCATAAAAAGTAATAAAATTAATTAACATTACTCCCAATATTCTTGTGTGAATTTTGACTCCCTATTACCATAAACCCCCTTCATGGATCACTGCCTTGCCGTGGCGAAAGGGCTTGAATAACTCAGAGAAGCTATGAGCTATGCTGTGCAGGGCCACCCAAGATGGACAGGTCATAATGGAGAGTTTTGACCAAACATGATCCACCTGGAGCAGGAACTGGCAAGCCACTCCAGTATCCCTGCCAATAAAACTCCATGGACAAAGACAACAGGCATATAAAAGTTATGACGCTGGAAGATGAGCCCCTCAGGTCGGAAGGCATCCAACATGCTACTGAGGAAGAGCAGAGGACAAGTAGATTCAGAGCTGATAAAGCGGTTGGGCCAAAGCCGAAAGGTTGCTCAGTTGTGGATATGCCTGGAAGCGAAAGGAAAGTCCAATGCTGTAAAGAAAAATATTGCATAGGAACCTGGAATGTAAGAACCATGAACCTTGGTAAGTTGGGTGTGGTCAAAAATGAGATGCCAAGAATAAATATTGACATCCTGGGCATCGGTGAACTAAAATGGACGGGAATGGGCGAATTCAGTTCGGATGACCATCAT